AGCCTTGCTCAGCTGTCGACCGGCGGGCGTCAGCTTGGGCGGCAGCTCGTTGATGGGAAAGAGAAAGAGCTGGTCAAAGTGCAGCTGTTGGTGGCTGCTGTCTTCCTCTCCTTCGCCTTTATCTGATTCAGCAGCGGCAGAGGCATTCTTCTTCCTCTTTTTGCCACTACTTCTCCAGGCAAAAAGGCTCTCCTCGAAGCACCCGAGCAGGCGAAGTGAGTCGGTGAAGCTGGGCGAGCAGATCTCCTGCGCAAAGTACTTGGAGTTGGCAGGCTCAAAGCGCATAGCGGTGGTGATGGTCGCAAAGACGCACCTACACAAAAAGAAAACAATGAACATTTAGTAAATGCCCTAAAAGTGATCACTAATCAAATACCTGAGCAGATTCCACACCCTCCTCGGGTCGATCTGGTAGGGCGCCCCGTTGAGGCAGTTCTCCATGTGCACGATGACGGAGATGACGGAGACGAAGCCGCCGATCTTGCGAAAGAGCGCCCGAATGCGGTGGTTCTCGCTCAGAACCACCAGCAGCGACTTGAGGACGGAGAGCTTCAGACTGAAGGCCTCCGCGGGGCTGCTCATCGTCGCCTGGTCGCGATGGAGGAGGACCAGCAGCGAGGAGAGGCTGTCCTCGCCGACGGGCGACAGGACCAGCTGCTGGACGAGGGTGAAGGCTCGCTTGCGGAGGGCCTTCGCGGGGAGGCTGGTGGCCGGCTGGCTGATCAGGGAGAAGGTCGCCTTGGAGGCGGCGCACTCGTGGAAGATGGTGCAGTTGGCGGCGTGCGGGCCGGCGAGGACGCCGATCAGCAGTTCGAGGAGCTCGCCAAGGATGAGGTGGTACAGTTCTAGTTGTCGGTCATCATTTGGCATTGCTGGTTGTTGAGGTGATTGATCGTTACCACCATTACCGCCATTGCCATTGCCCGTCACCCCCTGAATGACGGCACTGTAGAGCGAGCAAAAAATGTCCAGCAGGCCGACCTCCCGAAAGACGTCCCGGAAGATGACATTGTGCTTGAGGATGCGACCGAGGCAGCGCAGACAGAGGACGATGCTGTCGGCAGACTGCTTCAACTGTTGTTGTTCACTTGATTCGGAAGACTGCTGTTGTTGATTGTGCCTACCACCACCAGCAGTAGTAAATGGGCTGTTCTTAAGAACCATGCCCACAGTGATCAGTTCCTTGCAGGGCACGTAGTTCAGCTCAAAGACGACGTACTCCAGCAGGCGGTAGTACGTCGCCTGCACACGCCCACTGCGCTCTTCGAGGCGCTCCGCAAAGGAGCTGAGGGTGTTCTGCCCCTCCAGGAGAAAGTAGTTGGCCTTCTCCTCCCGGTAAATGGAGAGCACCGTCTCGAGGATCAGCTCCTGCAGGCGGTCCGTCCGTGCTCGCGCCCACAGCGAGCTGAGAATGTTGAAGGCCTTGAGGTTGCGAATGGCGCCGGTGAGGGCGCCAGCAGAGCTCCCGCTCGGCGTCCTCGGCAGCGAGAAGTTCTCAATAATGAAAACCTGGTTCACGCTGAGGGGGCGTGTCTTGAGGGGCGCCACGCCCACCTTGGTGAACTGCGCCGCCAGGGAGAGCATCTCGGCGAGCGGCTCATCACCACCCTCATTTTCCTCTTCTTTGAGCTGCTGCTCCAGCCTGAGGGCAAAGTCCACGAAGAACTGGTAGCCAAAGGCGCCGCTAAAGTCCTCGAGGAGGACGGCTACCTGGTTGTTCACCGCACTCTGCACGTACTCGAGGAGGAAGGTGATGAAGGTGCGGAACATGGTGGTGATCTGGTGGCTGGCGGCGCTGCCCAGCTCCACGATGCGCTGAATGTTCTCCACCAGCAGCCCCACGCAGCCCTTGTTGTGCAGGTACTCCACGTTGATGTTCCCGTGGCGGGCCATGGTGATGATCACGTCGGCGGCCGTGCCCCGCCAGACGCCGTTGTGCTCCGGGCACCAGCTGGTGATGGCGTTGAAGAGCAGACTGAGGTCGTCCTTTTTCGTCAGATCGGTCAGGGCAGAGGGAGCGGCGCAGAGGCGGGTCAGCAGCTGGCTGAAGACCTTCTGGAGGAGGGCTCGCCGCTCGCGGTTGCTGAGGTAGTCGGGTTCGGTGGCGGTGGTGGTGGCGATGGCCTTATCATCAGCCGATTTATCGTTATCTTCATCGTCGTCTGAACAGGGCGGCAGGTCAAAGAAGAGGTAGAGACACTTGACTAGGGTGGAGGCGAGCGAGTTGGCGGTCATCACCGAGACGAGGTGCGTCGAGTTGAAGGAGACCAAAATGTTGAGTGTCGAGAGGAGGATCCAGCCACGGCGCCGACTGTCGGTGCTGTTCGAGCCAGAGCCACCACCGCCTGAGCTCACCACCGTCGGGCTGATCTCGAGGAACTCGACGATGGCCATGGAGGCGCTCTCCGTGGTCTTGTTGCTCGCCCGCCGCCGAATCTCCGTCACCATCAGGCGGGAGACCATGGCGGCGAAGGAGGTCGGATCGCAGAAGCGCTCAAAGATGTCCAGCTGCGTGGTGGTCGTCGAGCTGTTGTTGGTGAACATCTGATCGAAAAAGGAGGTGGTGGAAGGAAACGAGATATAGAACAGTGTAAACAAACCGAACCAAAACTGACCTTGCAGAAGAGCGGCAGGAGGTTGTAGATCTTCGTCTCGTACTGCTCATTGGCGTGCTGTGAGGAGCCGATGGGCGGGGCATTCTGCTTGATCTCCAGGAAGAGCTTGTTCAGGTGGGCCACCGAAAGGGACGTCTCCTTGTCCATGCTTGTTCGTGGGTGTGGGTTAACGACAAAAGGGAAGTGTGGAAATGGGATTGATCAGTAGTGGATGAACATTCTGGTGATGATGAGATGAGATGAGATGAGCGAGCTTTTAGCTAATCTATTTGAAAAGTGGAAAGTAGAATTGAGACGATGCTGTTGACGGTCAAGAGTAGGTAGTGGTTGTGGAGGTGGTGGTGGTCAGCGTCGTCGTCATGGCGATGAACTTTGGCGGCGGCGGCGGCGTCACAAGTGGAAGAAGAGGTTATCACAAAGTAAACTGACAGCGACAAAGACAACAAAACAGAAATCGCCAACTCTGCACTTTTGAACAGTCGTCGTCGTCGTCAGCGTGTCTGGTCCGCGTACACACACAAACAGACCAGCCGGAGAGTGTGGGCGAGAATGCAAATTGCCGAGAGGATTCCACTGCTTCAGTTGCTGCTGCTGATGCAGCTAAATCAGCTGTTATTCATTTCAGTAGAAGCAGACAGAGAGTGCAGCAAAGGCAGTACTGGTGCTGGCTAGTTGAATTTCGCTTTCAGCTGCTGGTGCTCCATTTGCTGGCTGGTGCTGGTGCAAAGCAGCAGAATGAGAGGGAATGTTGCCGCTGCTACCCCCTCACTTTCTCTTCTGTCCTCAATCACTCGCTTCGGGAATGGTTTTCCTCCTGCTGGACCGGCTTCAGTGGCGGTGATGGCTGTTGGCCAGTTGGCTGCCAACTACTACTGGCTCAGTGTGTCGACTTTGGTGAAGAGCAGCAGCAGCAGCAGTGCCCAGTTTGTGTGTTTTGCGGCCGCCGAGGTCATATAGCACCAACAGCAGCTTCAAGGCTGTTTCGATTTGAGAAGAGGCTAGAATGTGGCTGCTGCTGTTTCTGCAGTTCTCAAGTCGACCCCTTGGTTCTTTTTGGTCTGGCCGTGGAGTTCTGTGCCGCCTGAATCTCTTCTCGAGCAGATCCTTCAATATATTATTAGTGTGCCTCTTCTTTTCTCTTTAGTGTGGCCTCACTCTTTTCTGACAGTCTCCGTCTGGTTGTGTGTTCAATTGATTTTTAAAGTCGTTATGCAGGCTGCCTCCTTGCGCTGTGGCACATTTGCCTGCGTCCCCTTTTGTTAGTTTCATAGAGCAGCGGCAGCCATCGCCGTACACCTGAGGGCTTCTGCTTGCCGTACAGCTTGGCTTGTACTTCAGCTGGGCTTGCGCTTCACTGAGCCTCATTCAAGTGTCTCCTTTGTGGTGTTGGTGGTGGTAGTAGTGCAATCTTCTTACAGCTTGAGTGCTTCCATTGTGTGGTCTGAGGGTGGCTCATTAAGCAGGGGCTTTGTGTAGTCTCTTCTTCTTTTTATTCTTCCCGAAAGTAGTAGCTGGCTGGTTTAGCGGTGGTGCTGAAGGGATTCACAACTTGCTAAATCAATTGTCGTCAACTTTGCAACTCTTCGGTGAGGTAATAATAATCATCATCAGGCAGGCCGCTAAGTTGTCAAAACAAACTCATGTGTGTGCAGTGCGGGAAAAAGTGCGTCTGTTTGAAGGGAAAGCGAGAATAAAGGCGGTGTCCAGAGCGGGGCAGTATAGCCGCTGTTCTGTCAATCAAATTGGCGTTTGCACTACCACTACGACTCATTCCTGAATATGAGCGGAATTCCTCCTTGAACCGGCTGGTGAAAGATAAAGAAGAATATAAAGTTATCAAGAGATATCAAATCAAATTCCTTCTCTCTCANTGCGGGAAAAAGTGCGTCTGTTTGAAGGGAAAGCGAGAATAAAGGCGGTGTCCAGAGCGGGGCAGTATAGCCGCTGTTCTGTCAGTCAAATTGGCGTTTGCACTACCGCTACGACTCATTCCTGAATATGAGCGGAATTCCTCCTTGGTCCGGCTGGTAAAAGATAAAGAAGAATATAAAGTTATCAAGAGAGATCAAATCAAATTCCTTCTCTTCCTCCTTCTGTCAGCCGTACTGTCACCACGTTTATGTGTGCGCAGAACCATCGGTGGACTATTTCGACGGGCGCTGCGCCACTCCACTGAGCGTGCTTCAGCGTGTGTGATTTTTTGGCTGCCGTCTGTGTTTTCAGCTCTTCAGCTTCAGCTCCTCCAGCAAGGTCGCCGGTTTCTGGTCATTTCAGGTCAAAGATCATTGTCTTCGCTTCCGGTACTTCCTCCTCAGATCAGTGACATCGACACCTTCCTCCTCCTCCTCTTCAATCAATGGCGGCTCAGCTTCTGAACAGCCTCGGCCGGATCGGCCTCGGCCTGGCCGTAGGTGCAAGTGTGATCAACACTGCGCTCTACAACGGTACGTCGACTACTGCCTGATGCAATGCCTGTACAATTTTCAGTTTTTTTCTAACCTGGTCCTTACCCCCTTCTATTCCCTCGATCACAACAGTCGACGGTGGCTCTCGAGCTGTCATTTTCGACCGCTTCACCGGCATCAAGAACACCGTCGTCGGCGAGGGCACCCACTTCCTCATTCCCTGGGTACAGCGGGCCATCATCTACGACATTCGCTCTCGGCCGCGCAATGTCTCTGTCATCACCGGCAGCAAAGGTAGGTGGATGTTTTTTTAAATTGTCATTAAAAAGTACTAACCGTGATGACAATTTTATTACCACCTTTCTCTCGTTNTTTCGACCGCTTCACCGGCATCAAGAACACCGTCGTCGGCGAGGGCACCCACTTCCTCATTCCCTGGGTACAGCGGGCCATCATCTACGACATTCGCTCACGGCCGCGCAATGTCTCCGTCATCACCGGCAGCAAAGGTAAGTGGAGGTTTCTAAATTGTCATTAATAAGTACTAACCGTGATGACAATTTTATTACCCCATTTTTCATTCGTAAATCACCGAGGTAGATCTGCAAAATGTCAACATCACGTTGCGAATTCTCTTTCGGCCGATTCCCTCTGAGCTGCCCAAGCTGTACAGTAGCCTTGGCGAGGACTACGATGAGCGTGTCCTTCCCTCCATTACCAATGAAATCCTGAAGGCTGTTGTTGTAAGTAAAAGAAGAGTACTTTTATGGCTTGATTATTTCTAATTGTCTAACTTTCTTGCTATTTTTAGGCTCAATTCGATGCTGGTGAGCTGATTACTCAGCGTGAGGTAGTCTCTCTGAAGGTCAGCGAAGAGCTGACGGAACGAGCCGCCCAGTTTGGCCTGGTTCTCGATGACATCTCTCTGGTATGGTCTTTACTTCTGATATTACCTTCATTGTGAACAGTTAACCAACTACTCCTTTTCCCGCAGACCCATCTGACCTTTGGCCGAGAGTTTACCGCCGCCGTCGAGTTGAAGCAGGTCGCCCAGCAGGAGGCGGAGCGCTCCCGTTTCCTCGTGGAGAAGGCCGAGCAGGTGAAGAAGGCGGCAGTCATTAGCGCCGAGGGTGACTCGCAGGCGGCCTCGCTGCTGGCGAAGGCCTTCGGCGACTGCGGCGAGGCGCTGGTGGAGCTGCGTCGACTGGAGGCCGCCGAGGACATTGCCCAGCTGCTGTCCAAGTCGCGCAACGTCAACTACCTGCCGCCGGGACAGCAGACGCTGCTCAGTTTGCCGCCCATGTAAAATGTCGGGTGGTGTGCTACTGAACCAGAAAGCCTTACCCTTACCACTCCCTTTGTAAAAAGAATCAAAGTTAGCCTGCAATCGTGTGTTCTCTCTTTTGCCCCGCCACATCACTCTTATTTTTTCCTATTCAGTAGTCCATTTATTGTTAGAAGTCGATGCTTAGTCGAACGATTTTGTTTTCACGAAGCTTACCACTAGAGAGTAACTATTATTATTATTACGCCTAAAAATAAAGGTCCGAAAAGATGATCACTGAAAGAGTAGTTTATGAGTAGTATTCAGGTGGCTGGCAACCAGACGGCGCTTTGGAGGCCTCCAAATGTTGGCCACCTAAGCAGGCAAACATTTGAACAGTGTGCTGGTGTGTGTCATAAGATGATGATGGTGGTCAGGTGATGATGACTGGAGAAAGGAGGCCTTGGTCGTTCTGGTGATGGTGCTGCTGCTGGTGATTTGGTGATGGTGGACTGCTATGCAGCACTCGCTTTCCCTACCATTTGTNCTTGGTGAGGACTACGACGAGCGTGTCCTTCCCTCCATTACCAATGAAATCCTGAAGGCTGTTGTTGTAAGTAGATGAAGAGTACTTTTATGGCTCGATTATTTCTAACTGTCTTCTCTTTTTTTCTATCTACCTATCTGTCTTGCTATTTTTAGGCTCAATTCGATGCCGGTGAGCTGATCACCCAGCGTGAGGTGGTCTCTCTGAAGGTCAGCGAAGAGCTGACAGAACGAGCCGCCCAGTTCGGTCTGGTTCTCGATGACATCTCTCTGGTATGGTCTTTACTTCTCTATTACCTTCATTGTGAAGAGTTAACCAACTTCTCCTT